TTGCAGCTGCTAGCTACAAAGTGCGACACGCCTTGCTCCCATAAAGCTAACAGGCTAGCTTACAACTTCTGTGAGGGCATCGAGTGTTGCCTTACCACTTCGGTTCACAAATGGTACGCAGCCGTTGACGTGCCTTAGCGTTTAGACGCGTTGTTGGTCCAACAGTGTACGTTAACCACCATGGGAGGACGTCAGGTAACGGACCCAAGCAAGGCGCTCAAGAGCGTTCGTTTACTGAGCAGTTCACTCTAGATGTGAGGGCGTTGAAAATATACTACGGCTCGTTGTCTTCCGGTGTTAGTGTGTGCCAACATACAACCATTTGCGCTCAGAAATGTCTCGTGTCATTTAAATGCGTGTCATTGATTGCTGCTGTTATCGTTTACTCCTTGGGTGTATTTGGTGCGTGAGGCTCCCGTGAATCACATGTGACAAAAAGTTGACCGATTTGTGAACGTTCTAGGTGGGTGGTCGGCGACATAAACCGAGTGCCCCTCCATATTTTGCCGGCATATACCCTCCACGTTGCACTTCAGTCTTCTTTTTCCCAAGCGGTTTTCAGTTTTTTACGTTCTGCTTTCATACCTGGTAGGGGAAAACACATACACAAGCCAAAATGACGACGGGCATTTTTACCGAGTTAAACTGGTGCAACCATTTATGCCTTATGTAATTTTATGTAAATTTTAGCTGTGTGTGTTCAATGCACGACTGTACATGTTTGCACTGTGGTTGAGAGAGGAAAGTAATTTCATCTGTGCTGTATGTTTACTTAGAGCATATTTGACAATAAAAGCTGACTTGACCTGACTATGACGTACGCGATGCGACCAGTCCTGCATCGTGCCTTGATTAAAACTGGTGGATTTGGCCTGTTAGATTCTCGTTTTGGGGCGCAGTGTCAGTTGACGTTATTGTATGCTGAACTGCACTGCTCTGCTTCCATGAAGTTGTCTACCGCATATACCGACCGCAGTGTTATTGAGGTTGTTTAATTATTCGCCAAAATTAAATTGCTTTTTGTATTGATTAGTGGAATTCTTACTCTAATAATGGAGGTTGAAGCGCATTAATCACTTGGACCCAACATCCGGTTTATATTGAAAAATCAATGCAAAAGTCAAGTAGCTGATACATTAGCTTGTTTGGCTGTGCTGGTATTGTTAATTAATTGACAAATACATGGCATCGGGCTGAAATCTCCAGTGTACATATATATCTGTTAAATTTCATATTTTTTTTTCACAAATCTATGCTATTGGTCAGTCTACTGGTGTGGGGGCTGTTTTTGCAAATTATTGGCAAATATAAAATGTTAAAAATGACTTTGTGTCTTTGATGAGGTAATGTTAGTGGTTAAACAAATTGGACATTTTGGGGGTCTCCAGAAATTGATGATTTTCGAGGAAGGAGGATTCCACCCGACACCAGCTATATGTCCCATGAGCCCAACAAATGGATGAGAAAGATGTTATTTGGCATCCTTTTCCCAATAGAAGTAAATGGAATCTGCTTGCCTGTGCTTTCTTTTGGGCGCGACGTTGTGTATATTGTAATTCTGAGTAGTTGCAAGTTGTTACAAAGCAATCTTTTTGTTTACATCTTAAATGCAGATCTAAACTACTGGTGAGAACATAATGCCTGTGGATGATAGTGACCCTCCGCAGCCCTCTCACTGTGACACAAGATGGTCACAGCAGATGTCAGGCCTCCCTCACAAGCTCCTGCAGCGCTTGATGCCTTTCCAACAGGAAGGAGTGCAATTTGCCCTATCCAAGAATGGAAGGTAAGCAGTGTACCCCTCAATAGTGAGATCATTCCAGTTCTGGTATTTGTTGAAAATATAAGGTAAGGCAATCTATCTTATTTGACCACTATCACATGCACAGGTATGACCACAACAAGACTGATGTTATGTACAGTTTTGAAGATGGGTGTTGTGAACATCTGCAACTGGCACAATCTCTAGTAGTGTAGAAAAGTGGTGAATTCAACCAAACATATATGAGGCTATGACATGTTTTTAGCCTCACAAAGCCATTTTATTTATAATGTAGTAAACCTAAAATTGTATGTGTTAAATGTGTATAAAAGAAAGTGAAAAATGTCTATAAAAGTGTGTATTCAATGATCGTGAATTTCTAGGGTGCATTTCCTTATTTATGCACTAATTCAATACTAACCCAACCGAGGAGGAAGCCGCAAAAACCAACGAAGAAATGCGTGCACGCACTCGCACGTGTGCATGTGGCATACGTACACCAAACAAAAGTGCGGCTTAGGTATGTTTAAATAAATGATGAGATACCGGTAATAAGATTATATTGTGCAAACCAACACTTCTGGATGGATACATGGACTCGAAGTCAATGAGTCTTTGACATTTTATAGCGCCAGTGATCTTTAGCTGGCTCTGGCAATCAGCATCACCATGAACTCACAGATAAAACAAGAACATGTCCTTTTGCAACAAAGTTTAAGTTGACGTGAGATGGTTTGTCAACTCTAATGCATGCACTCCAAGAGAGTATTAATTTTACGACACTTACATTGCATGACAATGCATGACGGTTAATGTAACAGTGATGGGTTGTAGCGTTTTCCTCAAATAAGCATTTACACCACTACTTGAGCCAGGAGCAGGGATGTAAAAAAGCATTTAATATTATGTTTTATTACAACATACAAATTCAATTCCAGTGAAGTTCGGACATTGGGTTAAACATCATTAAAAACAGATAAATGATTTGCAAATCATGTTCAACCTAGCTTTAATTGAATACACTACAAAGACATTTAAACATTAAATATTTTTAATGTTTAAACTGATAATCTTTTTAGCAAATAAACATTAATACAGAATTTTATGCATTCAACACATTCCTAAAAGGACAGGACAAGTGGCAAAAAAAGTTGAGGAATGCTCATCAAACACCTCACAGGTACAACTTAAAACTACTATAAAAAGCAAAAGCCATTTATCAATAACACCCACAAACGGCGTAGGCTTTTCCGTGCCCGAGCTCATCTAAGATGGACTGATGGAAAGTGGAAAAATGTTGTTATATGGTCTGACGAGTTCACATTTAAAATTGTTTTTAGACATTGTGGACGTTGTGTCCTCCGGGCCAAAGAGGAAAAGAACCATCCAGACTGTTATGGACGCCAAGTTCAAAAGCCAAAATCTGCGGTGGTATGGGGCTGTGTTAGTGCCAGTGGCATGGGTAACTTACTGAAAAGCACATAAAAGGTTTGAAGAAACGTGCTGCCATCCAAGCAACGCCTTTTTTCATGGACCCTGCTTATTTCAGCAAGACAATGCCAAACCACATTCTACATGTGTTACATCAGCATGGCTTCGTATTATAGAGATGAAAGTCCTTCGGATTTTCCCGGAATTCCGGATTTTCAAATTTTCATGAAATTTCCTCCGGAAAATTGAGGAAAAATTGCCTAAAATTAATCCGGATATTAGTTGACAACATTGAACGAACACGCGTTTGAGTTCGTTGTTTTGCTTTCATGAGCGTAACCATGTTGAGGCACGAACGCTAGTAACAGTAACTCCCCTCCCTCGCATTCGCATTGCCTCGCCATATCTCTGAGATTTCAAAATTTTGGCGAGAACGGAAGCCACAAAGGGTGCACGTGTGCACACAACACGGCATGACGTCTCAATCCGGGTTACGGGTAGTGGAATTTCCGCTTACTTAAGTTCCGGTAACATGTAATATCGTAGTCAAAATGTTAATGCATAGGTTTTTGTTCCGGGTGAAGGATATTCCTTTTCATAGAATTCCGGGGATGGGAATATTTACTGTGTGTATATATATATATATATATATATATATATTTGTATTTTCAGGAAAGTCCACTTTCATCTCTAGTAGTAACAGTGCGGGTACTCGACTGGCTTGCCTGCAGTCCATACCTGTCTCCCATTGAAAATGTGTGGCGCATTGTGAAGCATAAAATTTGACAACCGAGACTCCGGACTGTTGAACAGCTGAAGCTGCACATCATGGAAGAATGGGAAAGAATTCCACCTATAAAGCATCAACAATTAATGTCCTCAGTTCCCAAACATTTTTTCATGTAGTTCAAAGAAAAGGTGATGTAACACGATGATAAACATGACCCGTCCCAGCTTTTTTGGAACATGTTGCTTTCATAAAATTATATGTTAATGATTATTTGCTAAAAACATCAAAGTTTATCACTTTGAACATGAAATATCTTTGTCGTGCATTCAATCAATTAGAGGGTCAACATGATTTGCAAATCATTGTATTCTGTTTTTATTTATGTTGACCATAATGTACCAACTGCATTGGAATTGGGTTTGTACAATGTATTAGTTCTACGACCAGATATTTTGAATGGTGTATTCCCTTTGGATTGTTGTGTTTCATTTCGTCTTCATAATTTTTTTTTCTCCTCATTTTAAATAGGTGAAAAAAACTGAAATAATAAAATATAAAACGTAAAAATCAATATGCAGTACATCACTATCAACTGATATAAAATACTTAATATCGTGATAGACTTTTCCGCCATATCGCCCAACCCTATTTGGAAGGTACTTTAGTCAAGGTGGAAATTACCTCAGTATTTTGTTCTTGTCCAAAGAAAGTTTCTCTCAAGTATCAGCTGGATGAGTACACCAGGATTTGACCAAATCCTAACCCGTCCAGTTGATGCATGCTCTGGTTCTCAGGGAGGTCAACAGTGGGGCAGCCAATCTGAGAAGCTTTGCTGTGACGCGATGGCCAAATTGATTCAGGAACACGGAAAGGCGCTGCTTATGCGCACGAGGAGGTTAGAAGTCAGTTGACTTTTGCTGCATTATGTGAACAGCGCTGTCAAATGGCATCAGTGTGAAAGCAAGAACTGTCTTGGTGCTGTTCCTTCTGGAAGAATAGTGCACGCGTTTTTTACAGAGAGTAATTTCAGTTATTCTGTAAGATTGGGAGTGTGGCATAGTAAAAACAGCCATGATGTTTTGAGTAGTTAGTGTAGGGATATAAAGACTAGATGTTACATCAAAAGAGTGTGAAAACGAATAAACTTATGTTAAAAAAAATATGTAATCAAAGATTACGTCATATGGCCTAACATTCATATTTTGGTATAAATTGAATACCCTCACGGTAATCAGCGTTGGCTGGTGCAGTTTTCTCCACGGCAGAACCAGAAGATCTGTCGGTCCTTCAAGAGTAGTGACAAATTGTAGCCCGGAAGCCCGGTTAATATAAGATGATGGAGAGAGCATTCGGCAGCGTAATTGTCCTTGCTAGCCACGTGCTGAATTTTTGTGGTGAATTCCGATATGGTGGCAAGCTGACAATGCTGCCAACCAGACCATGGCTCCAAGGTCTTGGCCATGGCATATGTCAGCGGCTTTTGGTCCATGAAGGCAGTGAACCAATGAACACCATGTGGACCCCCCTAGAGGAATCGCAAGTGTCGGTGGTGAAGAAAAGGCCTAGCAGCTCTGTGTCAAAAGTGCGGTACTTTCTCTCGTCACGGATCTGCCTCCTGAAAAAGGCCAGGGGTTGCCAGGCCCCTACAACCCACTGCTCACACACTGCTCCCACAGCAAGATCTCACACAACTGTTGTGAGGGCAACCGGGGCAGTCGGACACAGATGCATCAGCAGAGATGTGTTGCCCAATGCAACCTTGGCAGAGTTGAAAGCTTTGTCCATCCTCGGTGACCAGTTCACTTCCTCCGTGTACCCTTTTCCTCACAGAGCCTCATACAAGGACCGCATGATGTGAGCTGCATGGGAAATGTCCCCTTTATAAAAATTTACCATCCCCAAGAATTCCTGCAGGGGCTTCACAGTGGAGGGGCGTGGAAAACTGCCAATAGGGGGACAACTCCCTGTGGCATGACATGGTGGCCGAGGAAGGTAATTGCTGACATGGCTGATTTGATGATGAGACTCTGCTCTCTGAGTCGCTTGAACACCAACCGGAGGTGTGTCAGGTTATCCATCGCATCTGTGCTGGCAGAATCTCGTCCAAGTAGACAAACAAGTACAGCATGTCACACAGCACAAAGTCTTAAAGTCGCTCAAACATCTGCACTGTCCTCTAACGTCGTAAGACATTTACAGAAACTCGAAAAGGGCAAAGGGTGTAATTACTGCTGTCTTTGTTACATCTTGCAGGTGTACCGGTACCTGGTGGTCACCGGACACCATGGGTTGTTCAATCGTAAACTTGGCTCATCGAAGGGTCACGCACATGCATATGCTGGGGGGCCTGCAGTGATGAGGTGGTGCTGAATTGATTGTACATCCGTATGTTTGGAGGAGAAGATTTGGTCCTTGTCTGTAGTGTTTCTCGAGAGTACATAGATGCAGCATGTGCTTGTAGCTTCTTGCAAGACACACCCCAAGCATTGTCAAGCATAAGGAAGGCTTCTTGGTATGTTCCATATGACTTAATTTATTTGAGGGTTCCCAATTTCCCATGTCCTTCAAATGCAAATGCACTTAGAGAGTCGCTGCCAGTGAATGCACCAACAAAATATCACTGATTCACAGTTTAGTTCTGTTTCTGATATTCAGTAGTATTTGACTGCAACAAGTATGCAACAAGGTTAGTCAGAACAACACCACGCTGTTTTAACTCGCCTGTCTTGATCAGCCCGGCAAGTGCCGTCCAAAAGCTCCTGCATGAACTCATGAAGCCTGCTTGAATGAGAGGCAATTTTCCTTCTCAGACAATCAGAACAGCCTGGTTGTGATCATTCTATATCTTGAGATTCAATTCACCTGGATTCATTAGAAGTTTCACAGGTATGCTTTGATACAGTTCCAGGTTTGAGGCAAAGGGTTTGAGTGTCCTTGTTAGTGTCTCCTTGATGGTCTGATCAACAGGAATTGGACCAACAGAATTGTGGCTTTAAATTTGGATGCAAAACCTCTCTCCAAGCAAGAAAGTAGGACAGGATAGAAGGGGTGTTCATCACAAGTAACACCACTTTAAAATACTTTATCTGCAGTAACTTTTTCACTGCAAATCAATCAAACTCTTGTTATAGTAATATTTTATGGATTTTTGTCCTTATATCAAAGCAAGTATCAGTATCCTTATCTTTTGTAGCAGACAGGTGCAGAGCATGCTACGAAAGCCTACAGCAGGGGTCGGGAACATTTTTGACTAAGAGAGCCATGAAAGCAAAATATTTGGAAATGTATTTCAGTGAGAGCCACATACAGTATATATAAGTGGATTCAACAACATGTCAGTATAATAATAATAAAGCCTCAGAATGTATACTTTTAAATAATGTTATAATTCTCACCATTAAATTGAATGGTTTTTCATTCCTCATGATTGTTAAAGATTCAGCAAAACTACCGGAATTATAGTCACCTTGCCGGGTCCATACACAGAGTTGCTGCTGGCTAGCTTGCACCCTGCTCAGTAGCTTGCACGCTTTCTTTCTACTGTCTCCCGTAGCGTATTTTGATGTGAACGTAGCATGGCGCGTGTCAAAGTGCCGCTTCACATTGGACCATTTCATTGATGCAATTTTGTCATCGCAAATTAGACAGACCGTAGAACCTGTTCTCTCCACAAAGGCGAAAATCCTTCGGTCCATTCGTCCTGAAGTGTACCATACTCGTAATCTTTTTTTATTTTCTCCATTTTATTCGTCAAAGATTAGCTTTGAGCTAATGACCGAGCGGGCTGATTCAAAAGGGGGCGTTTACATGTTTCCCCAGCAATGGCCTACGTAGGCCAGTATCATCCAATTAAAATTGCTCCTGCTGCCAACTGCAGCCCTGAACAGAATGTGAGCAGTGAAAAATCGATGGATGGATTAAACAAGCGAGAATACTTTGTTTTATCTGCGAGCCAGATGCAATCATCAAAAGAGCCACATTTGGCTCGCGAGCCATAGGTTCCCGACCCCTGGCCTACAGGATACTCAACCAAATACCATCTGGCTCAAGTGAAGAAGATATCAGCAGCAGTGATAATGAATGGTTACCACAAAAAAGAGAATTTGCAAATGGCAACAATAGTGACAGTGAAGCTTAGGAAGATGGGGATGCTGAAGAAGCTTAAGGAGCTGAGTATGTCCCTCCCACCTGACAAAGCTCAGGAACACCAGACATCTGTAAAAGCCAAGACAATGAGTTGCAGGGAGACCTGATGGAGATTATCATAATTTGTGCATGAAAGGGTTAAATTGCTGCCAAACACAATACTGTAAAACAAGTGCCGTGATCACATACCTGAACCAGGATATGATCCAATGTTAAAAATTTAGTTTTAAGAAGGTGGTTTATAGATATGAAAAAAAAAAAATCACAGAATTTGCTCACCCAGATGATATCGGTCATATTTTGGGTTTTGGAACATGGACTAAAAGGTTTATTTGCAAATAAAAATAAGAGGTCACATAGGCCAGCCCTATCAGGTTGATCTGCCAAGTTGAAAAAGTTTTGAAATGTGGTTATTTGTGACAATTTCCGCCATTGTTTCAGTATACAATAATTTCATCGATCTAAGATAAGTTCCGCCAAATCCAAATGTTGCGAAAACTTCAAACAGAAAACCCTATTCAACCCTATCAAGTACCTTTTCAGTATCCAACAGCAAAATGGCATGATTTTTAGAATTTGTTATCAAAAACATAGTCAGTGGGCTACGAATGTTTGTCTGCCTAAGACAAAACCATTTTGGTCCTGATTGATGAAAAAGGAAATGATCGTTTCTTTCCTTTTTTAGCCACATAAAATGTTTGTTTCACATGACATGCAGGATATTGGACGATATGTTATTTTATTTGCAGGCGATTTACCTTGCTTCAGTTGAAGATAAATTGCTAGCAACCTCAAGTGATAGAGATACTACTCATATTTTAAAGGATTCATTAAAAAGCATTTCAAAGTGATGTAACAACTTCCCAGCAAATTTCTTGTACCGTATTGGCCCGAATATAAGACGGCCCTGATTATAAGACGAGCCCCTCTTTTTCAAGACTCAAGTTTGAAAAAAGACTTTTTGAACACCAAATTAATTGTTGTACAGAAAATAATTACA